GGATGGGTTAGAAGGGAGCTTTCTCGATATATCGTTTGAAACGTGAATGCGTTACTAATTCAAAGCAAAAAAACTTTTAAGAAGTTTTTTTTTTTTTTTAGTTTTTTTAAAAAAACTTTTAACGTGGTGGCGTGTGCCTGTAGTCCCAGCTACTCGGGAGGCTGAGGTGGGAGGATCGCTTGAGCCCAAGAGTTCTGAGCTGTAGTACACCATGCCAGTTGGGTGTCCACACTAAGTTCAGCATCAATATGGCAACCTCCCGGGAGTGGGTGACCACCAGTTTGCTTAAGGAGGGGCGAACTGGTCCAGGTCAGAAACAGAGCAGGTCAAAACTCCCGTGCTGATCAGTAGTGGGATTGCACCTGTGAATAGCCACTGCACTCCAACCTGGGCAACATGGCGAGACCCCGTCTCTAAAAATAATAAATAATAAAATAAAAAATCTTATAAGGAAAATAAGATATTGGAAAATGTAAAACATTTAAAAAGTAAATCCAATAGTTGTCAATATAAATGGATTTAATTTTTTTAAGTCATTTAGTACTTTAAGGCTTATGTTTGTGTAGGTTTTTCTAGGTATCATTAGTTCATCTTCAGATACTCCACCAAACCTGCAGAACTGCTCTAAATGAGGCAAACCTATCAGATCTCTGTGATTTGTGCTTTTTCTTGATCATATTCCTACTTGAAGCCTTGCTTCTCCCTGCCCCAGTCTGTATCAGTCCCTGTCTGGACTTGGTGCCCAGCTGTTGTTCCTGGTGCCTCCTTTCTCCGCCAGGCTCTGAATTCCCTTCACCTTGTCACCTGGAGCCTGTATGCTTCCTTTTTCTTGATTTACTCCCTTGATTTGTAAGAGTACCTCTTCAGCAGTACTGAAAGAATGCCCAAGATACCAGTTTTTCATACTTTGCATATCAGAAAACATCTTTATCCTATCCACAGTCTTCAGTCTATTTTCTCTATATTGTTCAGATTAGGCTAATTATACTGATCTGTCTTCGGCCTCTTTGTTTCTAAGGCAAATGCGATGGCTGTCACCTGTGTAGTCCCAGCTACTCAGGAAGCTGAGGAGTGAGGATCATTTGAGGTCGAGAGTTGGAGGCTGTGGTGCTCAATGATCATGCCTGTGTGTAGCCACTGCACTCAAGCCTCACCAACACAGCAAGACAGTCTTATTTCAGTTATTATGTTTTTCATTTCTTTAATTTCCATTTGGTTCCAAAGTTTTTATCATTTTGATTTTTTTACTAAGATATTTCTATTTTTTTCATTCATTTCAAGTGAATTTGTAATTGCATATTTCTGATACCTGCCTTAAAGTCCTTGTCAGGTAATTCCTTCATCGTTCATTTTGTCTTATCAAGTTGTGATTTTCCTGTTTCTTGATAAGATGGGTGATTTTCTGTTTGGAATTGGACATTTCAAGTGTTAAATTATAAGACTGGATTTATGTATAGGTTGTACTTTAGCAGACCTCCTCTCAAATTACCCCAGCAGGGAAGAAGGGGCATTGCCGTGTTACTACCAGGTGAGCAGTGAAGGCAGGTTCCTGGTTGGCCTCTGATGATACTGCACGAGTAGTGGGTTGGGAGGAGATTGAGGCCCCTCATTACAACCTGGCCAAGGAAGTCTAGGCTCTTCTCAGCCTTGGCCAGGGCTGCAGTTGTTTCTTTGGTGTTTCACTGGAGTAGAGCAATTATTGGCTACAGGATTTTCATCATGCCAAGCCACCCCTTTTTCTTGGTTCTTGGGCTGGAGAGAGTTGGCTTTTCTTGGGACTTTTTTTTTTTTTGTCTCTGCTCTTTGGCATTTCCGGGTCATCAGCTTCTCCAGCACCCTGTCTAGGACACACAAGGCAAAAAGCAAATCCAGGGAACTGACTACCATGCCATTCCTGGGGTCCTGAGTTCCCTAGACAGTGTGCCTTTTCCTCCTCACTTTTCAGCAGCTTGTTGTGCTTGCTTTATATATAACACTCACGATTTTTAGCTATACTTTGTGGGAGGAGTAGGAAAAAGTATGTCTACTCCATCATTCCTGAAACACAACTCCTACCCTCACTTTTAAATGATAGGATGGCAGGCAGAATTTTAGATGGGAAATCATTGCTCTTTAAAAATATTAGCCGAATGTGGTGGCTCACCCAGAACTTCAGGAAACCAAGGCAGGGGGATCGCTTGAGTCCAGCAATTTGAGACCAGCCTGATCAATATGGCGAAACCCCGCCTTTACAAAAAATACAAAACTTGGTCAAGCATGGTGACACACACCTGTAGTCCCAGCTACTGAGGCAGAGGCAGAAGGACCACCTGAGTCAAGGAGTTCAAGACTGTAATGAGTCATGATCGTGCCCTGCACTCCAGCCTAGGCAGCACAGTGAGAAAGTCTCTCTCTCTCTCACTCTGACATATATATATGAGAGAGAGAGAGTGGCCTACATTTAAAGGTACTATTCTGTTGTCTTCTACATTTTGTTTTTACTTTTGAAACCCAGATACTGTTTTTGAGTGCTGATTTTTATATGTTATATGTTCATTTTTTTCTGAAAGCTTTAATGATCTTTGTTCTCAATGTTTAAAAACTTGATAGTAGAATTTGGCTTGGTTGTTTTTATATGTGCTAGATCCTCAGTGGTCTCTTCAGTCTGAAAACTCGTGTTGGTCAGTACAGGGAAATCTTGATATATTATTGCTTTTCACAATTTGTTTTCTACTCAGTTTCCATCTCATTTTTTGGGGGGAACTCCTATTTATCAGGTGAACTTCTGGAATTACTGGATTTTTTTTTTTTTTAATCTTTTCTCTCTTTACAATCTCTCATCTCTCTTTTTTTTTTGTAGATACCTTCAACTTTATCTTAAAGCCTTTTCAATATGAAAATCTGTAAATGTCTGGGAAAATAGAGAAAATCATAGTAATCAAACATGTGACTGTTACAATATTTTGCTTTTTCTTTTTTTTTTTTTTCCTAAGAGACAGAGTCTCGCTCTGTTGCAGCTGGAGTTCAGTGGTGCCGTCATAACTCACTGTAGCCTCAACCTCCCGGGCTCAAGCAATCCTCCCGCTCTTCAGCCTCCAGAGTAGCTGTGACCACAGGCACGCACCACCATGCCCAGCTAATGTGTGTAATGTTGGGGTTTTCCTATTTTAAGCAAGCTAGTCTCGAACTCCTGGGCTCAAGTGATCTTCCTGCTGTGGCCTCTCAAAGTACTAGGATTATAGGTGTGAGCCACCATGGCTAGCCAGTTCTTTCTTGTGCCTATTCAGATATGCAGTTGAGACTCTCTAGTGGTTTTTCCCCCTTTTCAGCACTTACACTTTTATATTCCAGAATTTCTGTCTAGTCCCTCTGTTGCCTGGGCTGAAATACCAATGTTACAATTACAGCTTATTGCAACTTCAGACTACTGGGCGCTAGCAGTTCTCCTGTCTCAGCTTCCTGAGTAGCTGGAACTACAGGTGCATGCCAATGCACCTGGCTAATTTAAAAAAAAATTTTTTTTGTTTAAGAGATGGGGTCTTACTATCTTGCCCAGGCTGGGTCTCAATCTCCTGGCCTCATGTGACCCTTCTGCCTTACTTAGCTTCCCAAACTGCTGGGAATTTATAGGCATGAGCCACCAGGCCCAACTCATTGGTTTCATTTCTACAGGTTAAAAATCTCAAGTATACAATTACCAACTGAAAATATAGGAGTAAAAACCAAAGAGTTTTTGTCTTCTCTCACTCATCAACAACACAGAAACTTCTGTGACCTTCGATTAGTATGAAATGGGGGAGGGTTTCTCCCTGACAACCAACCAGTCAGTTTTGCAGAAGACACCAGGTAGGTGCCCTGCAATTCAATTATGATACTTGGAGATAATGTCAGTTCTCATGGGTTGAAAGCTCAGTCCCACAAGACTGCACCCAACTTTCAACGCCAAATGCAAGCTCCAGGTGGTTTTACTTGTTCTTCTGACCAGCTAGGCCCCATGCATAAGTTTGATTAATTTGCTAGAACAGCACACAGAACTCAGGAAAACACTTTACTTACATTAACCTATGTATCATAAAGACTATTACAGAGGACGCAGATGACCAGCCAAATGGAATAGACACATAAAGCGTGGGAGAAGGGATGTGAAGCTTCCGTGGCCTCTCTAGGCACGCACACCTAAGGGAACCTTCACATACTTAGCTATCCCAGAAGCTCCTGAACCCAGGCTTTTCTGGTTTTTATGAAAATTCCATTTACGTAGGAATGGTTGATTAGTCATTGGCCATTGGTAATCAGCTCAACTTCAGTCCCTCTCAATTACAACTGTAGTAAAAAAAGAAAAATAACAACTCCAAAGACAACATATATATTGAAGAGTTCTGGGAGAAAAGGTACATTACTATTATGAAAATTGGTTGTGCTATGACAGTATGACTTTGAGTGTGTTCTTTAATGTGTTATTTTCTTAGTTAATTTTATTACTGCTTTTAAAAACTTGGGTGGGAGCAGGGCATATAGCATATTTTTAAAAACTGATTTCCATTTAAAATTGCTTTGTTAAACTTTTAGAGTCGAGAAATAGAGCATTAGAGCTAGGCATGGTGGCTCACATCTGTAATCCCAGCACTTTGAGAGGCTGAGATGGGCAGATCACTTGAGCTCAGGAGTTGGAGATCAGCTTGGGCAACATGGTAAAACCCCATCTCCATGAAAAAAAATCACACACAAAAATTAGCCTGGGTGATGGCACGCACCTGTGGTCTCAGCTACTCAAGAGGCTGAGGTGGGAGTATCCCTTGAGCCTGGAAGACGGAGGTTGCAGTGAGCCAAGATCACACCACTGCACTCCAGCCTGGGTAACAGAGTGAGACCCTGTCTCCAAATTTTTTAAAAATTAAAAAAAAATAGAGTATCAATTATACAGTGTGCTCGACAGAAATAATTGGACAAATAACCATCCTCTGAGATGTTGTGGATGAAGGCAGCTTATTTGCTATGTGTGCTTTTCTTTTGTGTTTTAGTGCCAAACCCAAGTCTGAAATCCATGTGTCTATGGCCACTCCCGTCACTGTGTCCATGGAGACTGTATCCAACCAAAATAATGATCAGCCTACCATTGCCGTCCCTCCAACTGCCCAGCAGCCCCCACCGACCATTCCAACTATGATTGCAGCAGCCAGTCCCCCGTCACAACCAGCCGTTGCCCTTTCAACCATTCCTGGAGCAGTCCCCATCACTCCACCCATCACCACTATTGCAGCTGCACCACCTCCATCAGCCACTGTGGGTGGCAGTCTCTCTTCTGTCTTGGGCCCTCCTGTACCTGAAATTAAAGTGAAAGAAGAAGTAGAACCAATGGATATCATGAGACCAGTTTCTGGTAAGTCCGTCAATAGAATACTCTCCATTGGCACTTGCCTCTTCCCCTTCCCTAATTCTCCTCCAGCATCCAGATTCTCCTGTGACCCTCAGCCAAGACTCTTGATGCTCCTTTTAGATGTTGCTTGTCATTAGATTTTGATAAGTAGAAGAAAGCAGTAAACTCGTTGTGAGAACTAAAACTACTTTGCTTCCCTTTTGTAATTAAGTTTAATTTCTGACCAAAATCAGGAAAGAAATTAATATTTCCCCATGGATATCCTTTAGTATGGTTTTCTTTGCATGCATTAAGAAAATGCTTCTATGTAAAAGGGGTCACAATATGGTTATAGCTATGTACTACTTATTTACAACTTATTCCCTGCCAAGTTTCATTGCCTTGTTATACAATCAAGTAAGATTTATGTTGCTGATAAACCTATATTTGATTAGAAAAATCTTAAAACAATTCATTTCTCCCTTTCCCACATCATCTTAACTCTGAACTTCTGGTTTGAGAAAATCAGGTCACTTCAGAGGTTTTCTTCTTTTTTTTTCCTTTTTAATAATTCATTGTGGAATTTTTTTCCCCTACAAAAGTAACATACAGTATACAAACTGTGTGACGTATAAACAAAACCAAAGGAGAAAGCAAGTTATGTGTGCGTTGCTACCCAGTATTACCTGCCATTTCAGTGAGAAGACCTCCACTTCTGTCTCATGTTGTTGCCTAATAGAGGTGTGATTGTGCTGTGTCTGTAGTTTTTTTTTTTTTTTTTTTTTTTTTTTTTTTTTTTTTTTTTTTTTAATCTACTGTTTATTTGCTTTTATTCTGCCATGAAATCTCTTTCCGTGGGTATATTTAGCCTTGGCATTTTCTTGGAAAGATACCATGAGTAATCCAGAAGGGGATATTAAACATCCTCAATTATGCTACTCATCTGCTTTTTTTGGCTGATTCCCTTTACCTCTCTGTGCAAGAAAACTACCTGTAATCCTCCCTCAACCTATAGGGGTTTACTCCAGAAATTGTTCTAGCCACTGACGATGCAACTCTGTGTAAGACACATGCAGCTTTATCCTCTTAGATCTTACATTCTAGTGAGGGAGACAAGCAGCAAAAAGACGACTAAATTATGTATGTATGTATATATGTATGAGTGTATATGTATGTTTGGGTGATAAGTGCTATGGAGAAACAAAGCAGGGAAGAAATATAAGGGAAAGTAGTAGCCAGGGCTGGAATTTTTTAAAGGGTTTTAGGAAAAAGCTTCATTGAGGAAGTGACTATTAAGTAGAGACATTAAATAAATGAAGTTGCTGGCCATGAGGAAACCCGGGAAAAGAGTATTCCAGGCCAGAGAGCAGTAAGTCCAAAAATCTTGAGATAGGAGCCTGCATGATGTGCTCAAAATATAGCAAAGAACCAAAGGTTGCTGGAGCTAAGTAAAAAGGGGAGTGGCAGGCAGCAGGGTCAGAGAAGTAGGACCATGGTTGAGCAGGGCCCACAGGCTGTTGTAAAGGCTTTGGCTTTGCTGGGGTTGGCAGGGTGCTGTTTGAGCAGAGCAGGGAGTGTGAGCAGAGCAGTGCCAAGCGCTCATTTAGAACTGAAGATAAACACTCTGGCTGCTGGGGAAAGAACAGACTCTGGGAGCAGGGATAGAATCAGGGAGACTTGTCAAGCAGCTGTTGCATTAATTACAAGGAACAATGAAGGCTCAACCAGGGTTAAGTGGAAGTGGTATGAGGTGGTAGGATTCTGGATATGTTTATAAGGTAGAGCCAAGAGTGTTTAATGATTGGGTGTTGAGTGTGAGAAAACAGTATCTGGGACAACTTTCAAGGTTTTTGGCTTTAGCAACGGGTAGCCATAGACTTGCCATTGGCTGAATTAGGAAAGCCTGCAGGAGGACCTTGTTTTGTAGGGAAAGATTAGGAGTTTAGTTTTTGATAGGGTAAGTTTCAGATGTCTGTTAGACATTTCAAATGTAGACATCAAGTAAATAGTTGGATCTATGTGGCTGGCTTTTGGAATAGAAAATGAAGTTGCAGATATAAATTCGGGAGTTGTCATTATATATATAAATTGTGTTTAAAGTTATGAGCATGGATGAGTGGTTCATATCACCTAGGGAATGAATGTTGATAAAAACAGGAGCAGTCCATGATCTAGTCTTAGGACAGTGCACGATCATGAGGTAGGAGGGGAAGTGAAGTCCAGCAAAGGAGACGGAACGGAGGGAACCACAGGGTAGGAATGTAACTTACGACATGTTGTGTCCTGGAAATTGCGAGGACAAAAATATTTCAGGGCGGAGGGAAGGATCAGGTGGATCACATGCTCTCTAGAGATCAAGGAAGATGAGGTCTGAGCAGTGACCTTTGGATTTGGCAAATGGGAGTCAGAGTTCTCAAGAAGAGCAATTTTTGTGTAATGACGGGGTAGAAGCATGTTTGGGAGCAAGTTAAGGAGAAAGCTGGGAGAGAGAGAGACATTAGATATAAACAGCACTTTAGAGGCATTTGTTCTAAAGGAAGAGAAAAAAGGTATTTAAAGTGACATGATGTCAAGAAGATTTTTTTTTTCTTAAGAGTTTTGCTCTTTCACCCAGGCTGGAGTGCAGTGGTGTGATCTCAGCTCATTGCAGCCTCCACCTCCCGGTTTCAAGCGATTCTCCTGCCTCAGCCTCCCAAGTAGCTGGGATTACAGGCACCCGCCACCAAACCCAGCTCATTTTTTTATTTTTAATAGAGACGGTTTCACCATGTTGGCCAGGCTGGTCTCAAACTCCTGACCTCATGATCCGCCCACCTCAGCCTCCCAGAGTTCTGGGATTATAGGTGTGATCCAGCGCTGCCGGCCAAGAAGATTTTTTTAAGATGGGACAAATTAGAGTTTTGCATGTTAATGGGAATGATCTAGTAGAGTGAGAAGAATTGGCAATGCAGGTGAAAGTTGTGAATTCCTGGAGCAGTGTTTGAGGAGGTGAGAGTGGGTGAGATTTGTGTGTACCTGAAGAGGTTGACCTTTGCTAAAAGCATGGAGAGGAGAATACAGGGACACAGTGGAGGTGAAGAGATGAGGTGGTGGGACTTGATGGATATTTTCTTGTGACCGCATCTATCTTTTTCAGTAAAATAGAAAGTAAGGCCTTTACTGAGAGTACAGATGGTGGAGGAGGTATCTAGTGTTTGAGGGAGGAGAGGGTGTGAAGTAGTCATCGTGAAAGAGACTGATCTTAGCACATAGGATAGGGTTGCCAAGTGAGGGCAGTAAGCAGGACACTGTATCTCTCTCTGGTGACATTCAGTTGCATAGGTGCAGACTAGTTGGAGAATAGGGTTTAACCTTTTGTGCTTTTGCTAAGTGAGCACAATAAAGCAAGAAAAGGAAGGGACAACGAAGGAGGAAGAGGAATACAGTGATCACAGGGTTAAAACCTGGTGATGGGGGAGGAGAGACATGAGAGGGATGAGTGACTGCAGGAACATGGTTGGATGAACAGGTAATAGCTCCTTGTAGGCTTAAGGAGTATTTGAGGCTGAGTACTGAGGGGAGGAACCTAGAAAGAGAGTTGGATTTACCTATGGAGTTGAATGCTAGAAATTGAGATTGAGTGTGAGGCAGTTTGCAGTCAACAGTGACAAGAAAGTTTAGGGTATGACTATTGGGAGTGGGCAGCAGAGTGGGTAGAGGAAAATAGGGCAAGTATATGGTAGTGAAAATAAGAGTTAAGGTGAGCCTTTAACATGATGTTTAAGTTCCTAGATGTGTAATTCATACAAGTTCAAGCAAATGTTTATATCCTCGCAATGGATGCTTTTTATCTGGAGGTAGCACACTGTGCTAAGTGGGAGTGTGAGCTCTGAAACCAGACTGCCTCTGTCAGCTCCCAGCTTGCCCACTTCATACTTGTGTGACTTGTGCCACATTTTCACATCTGTGAATTGAAGGATAGTAATAATGCCTACTTATTCACATGATTGTTACACTTCTATTTCCATCTTATATGACCACACCTGTAATGGAGGCTAGGAAGTGCATTCTTTTAGCTAAATATCATTGTGTTCTTGTCAAAGGGACGTCCTGGAACTAAGGAAGATGAGGATATGGGCTATTAGGGAGGAGTCTGCTGCTTCTGCCACAGAGGGCTTAGCACAGTGCCAGGCACATAGGAAGACTCAATAACGTTGGCTCTCTGTGCTGTCCACTTAATCACTGTCTTTGCTGGAGGTAAGTAAAGCTTTCTGCTATGCTTGAGTTCTTACAAATGTGTGTGCTCCTTTTCCTGTGACAGCAGTTCCTCCGCTGGCTACCAACACTGTGTCTCCATCTCTTGCATTGCTGGCAAACAACCTGTCCATGCCAACAAGTGACCTACCACCTGGTGCCTCCCCAAGGAAAAAGCCTCGAAAGCAACAGCACGTGATCTCAACAGAAGAAGGTGACATGATGGAGACAAACAGCACTGATGACGAGAAGTCCACTGCCAAGAGTCTTCTGGTGAAGGCTGAGAAGCGCAAGTCTCCTCCCAAGGAGTATATTGGTAATGGTCACAGGCCGACTTGTCTTATGATGCTTCCCAATAAAGTCAGAGTCCAACCCAGAGGCTCGCTACATAGTCAGCTTCACTTATACCTCACTTACTGGAATTGAACTTTGGGGATTGTTGACAATGCTAATAAGTTGTTTAATGTCTTCTCTTTTAATAGATGAGGAAGGTGTGAGGTATGTCCCAGTGCGTCCAAGACCCCCCATTACTTTGCTTCGTCACTATCGGAACCCCTGGAAAGCTGCTTACCACCACTTTCAGAGATACAGTGACGTCCGGGTCAAAGGTCAGTTTCCCCAGAAACATTCGGTATTAATGCATGAAATTGGTATAACCCTTAGCTGTGTTGTAATTATGCCAAGAAAGAAAAACAGAACCACGGTTTTCTAGTTTCAAAGAAACCATACATTTTTGTTAAAACATCTTGAGACTTTAGTGTTTAAGTATATCCCATAGAATATAAAACTTAGAAAATTACCCTTTGCCCTAGAAAGCTGTGTGTATTTATCAGAATTGCAGTTTAAGGGTTAAATGACAGCCTTGATTTTTATAAAATCTGTATGTTAACAGCTCCGTAAGTACTGATGGAGGATGCCTGTGGCTTCCAGAGTCACTGTGGAAGAGCTGTACTGGATTACTGTGTAACACAGTTCTTAGTCCACAGTAGTTCCTAGGATGCCAAAATATACATGCATTGTAAGCATTTCTGCCAAAAGATCTTTTGTTTAACATATATACGAAGCTCTTAGAGTGGTCTAGGGTAAGCCCTCAATAAATGTTTTGTTCTTGTGGAATCTGACAATAACCTTTTAATAAACCCACATATGATAAAAATGGCTAATAGTACTTTGCAGATACCTGCAAATATTTCTACTGATGGACTTTAAGTGCCGTTAATCTCAAATATAAGTACAAAGAAATGAGTTTCTAGATAATTGGTCACATTTCCCATTCTCTTACGTAAATTCCATTTGGAAACTGCTCTAAGGGTTTTCTTGAAGGTTCAAAATGAGTCCAGCTTGGATGGAGTACTGACTAATTAAGCAGAAGTGGAAATGCTAGTAGTTCAGTCTCTGAATGGAAGTACAGAGGCGGCTACGTTTCCCAGCTTTTCTTCCTCACAAGTGTACTCTGAGGTTTGAAAAGAAAGTGAGATTTCCAGAGGTCAGGGAGTGTTGCCTTTTAGTGGAAATAGGATATGAACCACTGAACATCTCTTCATGCTGCAAGAATTTCGTAGAAAAAATATTTAGGAATTTGCCTGGTAGCATTTTAAGCCACACTACAAGAGTCTTAATGCTTATTGGGACTTGCTCTTCAAAAACTATCTCAAGAAAGATAACTTGACAGCTGAAGGGTTTATGATCCCTAAATCTTCTATTTCAGTATATTCATACTAACCTCCTTTACACACTGCCTCTTGACTAGGAAACTTTAGTGCAGCTATTTTCCCTGAGCTATAAAATACATATAGATTATATGTGTAAATACATCAAGGTAGACTAAAACTCACAGGAGCTGGGCACAGTGACTCACGCCTGTAATCCCAGCACTTTGGAAGGCCGAGGTAGGTGGATCACTTGAAGCCAGAAGTTCAAAACCAGCCTGGCCAACATAGTAAAACCCTGTCGACTAAAAATACAAAAAAATTATCCAGGTGTGATGGTGGGCTTGTAATCTCAGCTACTCAGGAGGCTGAGGCAGGAGAATTGCCACCACATGCCAGCCTAGACCGCAGAGTGAGACTGTATCTCAAAAAAAAAAAAAAAAGGGAAGAAAAGAGAAACAAAAGAAGTACAGAAAGCAATAGTAATGTGGCAGACCTAAGCCTTAACATGTTAGTAACTGTCATAAATGTAAATAGTCCAAACGTACCAATTAAACACAGATTGGCAGAAATAATAAAAAAACACAATCCAACTATGTACTGTGTACAAGAAACTCACTTTGAATAGAGTGGCATAGGTAGATTGACAGTAAAAGGCTAGAAAAATACACACAGGCCAGGCACGGTGGCTCACGCCCGTAATCCCAGCACTTTGGGAGGCCAAGGTGGGTGGATCACCTGAAGTCAGGAGTTTGAGACCAGCCTGGCCAACATGGTGAAACCCCAGCCCTACTAAAAATACAAAAATTAGCTTGCAGTGGAGTCACACACCTGTAGTTTCAGCTGTTCAGGAGGCTGAGGCAGGAGCATCACTCCAACCCAGGAAGTGGAGGTTTGCAGTGAGCTGAGGTCTCACCACTGCTCTCCAGCCTAGGGAACAGAGAGTGAGACTTCGTCTCAAAATATGAAAATAAACGAAAAATATATAAAATTCAAAAATTAATTTACAAAAGAGCAGGAGTGGCTATATTAATGTCATATAAAGTAAACTTCTGAGGAAAGAAAATTGCTGGAGGCACAGAGGGATATTACATATTGATAAGATAATTAGCTGACCAGGTAATGATCCATTTTTCTGCAGTGTCTTTTAAAATATAGGCAAGGACATTCCAGATTTATTTTATGAAGCCAATATTTTCATGCTATCAAAACCAGAGTATACAAATATAGAAAACAACAGATCATTAGTCCTCATGAATATAGATGTAAAAATGCATTAATAAAATATTAGCAAATCAATTCCAACAGTATATACCTTGACCAAGTAGAATTTATTCTTGCTGTACAAAGCTGGTTCAACATTTGAAAACCAAAGTAATTCACCCTATCCACTGGCCTTGTTAATTTCCTAGGGTTGCCATAACAAAGTACTGTGAACTGGGTGGCATTAAACAGTACAGATTATTCTCTCGTGGTTCTGGGGTCATCTAGAATAAAGGTCCAATGGGATCATGCTCACTCTGAAAGCATTAGAGGAGAATCATTCCTTGCCTCTTTGGTTTCTTGTGATTGCCAGCAATCTTTGGTGTTCCCTGGCTTGCACCTGCACCACTACAGTCTCTGCCTCCATCTTCAAATGGCATTCTTCTGTCTCTCCTATCCTCCTTTCTCTCTCCTTCTCTCCCCTTCCTTTTCTCACTCTCCCTTCTTTTTCTCTCTCCCTTCCTCCTTGTGTGGATACCAGTCATTGGATTTACAGCTCACCTTAATCCAGTATAACTTCTTAACCAAATTACATAACATTATCATTATTACTATTATTTTTGCGATGGAGTCTTGCTGTGTCCCCTAGGCTGGAGTGCAGTGGTGCGATCTCAGCTCACTGCAACCTCTGCCTCCCAGATTCAAATGATTCTCCTGCCTCGGCCTCCTGAGTAGCTGAGATTACAGACATTCACCCTCCACCCAGCTAATTTTTTGTGTTTTTAGTAGAGACAAAGTTTCACCATGTTGGCCAGGCTGGTCTCAAACTCCTGAACTCAAGTGATCCACCTGCCTTGGCCTCCCAAAATGCTGACATTGCAGGTGTGACCACTGCACTCGGCCTACATTACATTCTAATATAGTCACAGGTATCAAGGAACTTCAATATATCTTTTGGGGGGAAACCAACCCACAACAAAAGCTAAAAAAGAAAAATCACATGATTATATCAATCAATATAGAAAACTTGACAAAATTCAACACCTTTTCATGATAAAAATGTTCAAAAACAGAGGAGTTCTTACTGGATTTGATAAACTCTGCAGAAAACCATCTAACATTATGCTTAATACTGAAAGACTGAATTCCACCTGAGATTGGCAAAAAGACAAGGATGTCGTCTCTCAGCACTCCCGCTCAACATAGTATCAGATTTGACTACACAGTAAGGCAAGATAAAGAGATGAAAGTAACACAGATGGGAATGAAATAAATGAAATTGTCCCCGTTTGCAGATGACCTCATGGTCCAGATAGAAAATGTCAAGGATTCTCCCAAAAATACTCCTGGAACTAGTAAATGAATTCAGTAAGGTCACAGAATACAATGTCAGCACAAAAATCAATTATTTTTTTAGTAGCTGGGACTACTACACCTGGCTAATTTTTGTATTTTTAGTAGAGTTGGGGTTTCACCACGTTGGCCAGGGTGGTCTCAAACTTCTGACCTTAAGTGATCTGCCCACCTCAGCCTCCCAAAGTGCTAGGATTACCGGCATGAGCCACCGTGCCCAGCCCATAGCAAGGTTTTTTTAGACATGGAAAAGCTTATTCTCATTCCTGTGCCTCTCCATATGAAGTTTAGTATAAGCTTCTCTTTGTCTTAAAAAAAAAAATCCTTGTAGTTCCTTCAGCGTCCTCAGTGTGCAAGTTATTTTCAATAAATTTGCTAAGTGTTGAGCCATTTTATTTTTTTTAATATTTGTCTTAACTCTCCTCTCGCAGTATGACCATCACACATGTAGGTTTTCTTAATGATGTCCCACATTTCTCTGTAGCACTATTCACTTTTCTTTATTCTTTCTCAGTTCTTTGGCTTTCATAATCTCCATAGATCTATCTTGAAGGTGGCTAATTCTTGTACCGGCGCAAAGCAATTGTTGAGCCCCTCTGGTGATTTGTACATTTCAGCTATTGTGCCTTTCAACTCCAGAATTTTTACTTGGTTCTTTTTTGTTATTTCTCTTCTCTATTAGTGTTCTCTATTTCATGTGTCAGACATCTCACCTTCCCTTACTTCTTCAGTCTTGCTTTCTCTTAGGGCTGTGAACATGTTTATTATGGGATTTTGAGATCTTTTTCTGTTGAACATGACATGGTCATTCTCACAGACACTTTCTGTTGCCTGCTTTGTTTTCATGAGTATGGGTTGTACTTTCCTGTTTCTTTGCAAGCCTTGGAATTTTTTGTTGGAAACTGGACTTTTTAGATAATGTATTGAAGCAGCTCAGACTGGTCTCACCACTGTTGGGCTTCCAATTGTTATTTGCTTGTCTATTTGCTCAGTGACTGACTGGATTAATTTAGCGACATCTAGCTGCTTCAGCCCCCATTTGCACATGCATGTTCTGCTTCTGGTGTTGCTGCTCAGGGAGGCTCACCTCTGCGCATGCCCACAGTCAACCCAAGATGACAGTGACTTTGGTGGGCTCTCTCCTTCACTCTTTTTTTTGAGACGGTGTACCACTGTGTTACACAGGCTAGAGTGCAGTGGCATGATAATGACTCACCACAGCCTCAACCTCCTGGGCTCAAGCGATCCTCCCACCTCCGCCTCCCAAATGTCTGGGACCACAGGTGCACGCCACCATGCCCAGCTAATTTTTGTATTTTTTGTAGAGATGGGGTTTTACCATATTGCCCAGGATGGCCTCAAACTCCTGGGCTCAAACGATCTTCCCCAGTCCTCACCCCCACTCCCTCCCCCAAGTCAGCCTCCCAAGTGCTAGGATTGCAGGCATGAGGCACCACGCTGTCTCCTCCACTCTTTCCCTCACCTTACCCAGCTGATAAAGCCACTAATTGCTGCCTGTTTTCTCTAATGTTTTCAACACTGCCCTGGAGCACAAGTTCCTCTATAAAACGAATTCAGTCAGATTGTAGTTCCCTGGGCAGAATAGTTTCTGATGTCAGTGTTCCGTGTTTGTTCTGCCCTCAGAAAGGCTCCCCCAGCTCTCTTATACTTTGTTCTTTCCTTCAAATTAGCCTGTACATAGTCTAGGCTATATCTTCATTAGTTCTACAAATCTACCCCCAGTTCACGTCACCATAGCCTCCACTGTTCTTGGGAGCACCTTTAGGTCTGAACTTCTTCACACTCTTGCAAATGGACTCAGTTGCTTCAGAAAGAAATTAAAAGGTATCTGTTTTACAGCCCACTTCTTCTGGCAAAATGTTTGAGCCAGGGCCGTAGAGATGGGGGAGGCCCTGGCTTGGCATGTGGCAAGCTTTTCTCTGAGTGACAGCCCTGCTTTAGGAGGTAGCACTTAGTGGAGGGGAAGGAGGAGAGTAAGTAGCCTGGAGTCCTCTTGGCTTGCCTTCCCCGTAAATGAAACCACTACCTCAAGTAAAGAAGTTCTTATGGCCAGGTGCAGTAGCTCATGCCTATAATCCCAATAGTCTGCGAGGCCAAGGCAGGCAAATTGCTTGAGCCAGGAGTTCAAGACCAACCTGGGCACATAAGAAGACCCCATCTCTACAAAAAATACAAATGTGAGCCCAGCATGGTGGCGCACACCTGTAGTCTCAGCTACTTGGGAGGCTGAAGTGGGAGAATTGCTTTAGCCTGGGAGCCAGAGGTTGTGGTAAGCCAAGACTGTACCACTGCTCTTCAGCCTAGGTGACAGAGCCAGACTATCTCAAAACAAATAAATAAAACCTAAATTCTTGTTAAAATAATGGCATGTAGGCTGCTTGAACACAAACCATTTACCTTTTTAAACACTGAAATATACTTGTTTTTATTTTTTATGGTTCCAGAGGAGAAGAAAGCTATGCTGCAGGAAATAGCTAATCAGAAAGGAGTGTCCTGTCGTGCTCAAGGCTGGAAAGTCCACCTCTGTGCCGCCCAGCTACTACAGCTGGTAAGTGGAGTTCTAGCAGTTGTTCATCATGCTGAAGAGAGAAGACACTGGAGATAGCTGAGTTCATAGAACTTTTCAAACGTAACTCTGAAGCATTCCCAGCTAACATGGGTAGTGGTAGAATTTTTACGTGTATTATGTAATATAATCACTGTGTCAGTTACATGTGATTATAATTGAAGTATATCTGAATTCTGGTACCCAGATCCAAAATATATGGAACAACTGTGGTATAAGACCTAAATTTAAGATTCAGTGGGATGGCCAGGCGCGGTGGCTCAAGCCTGTAATCCCAGCACTTTGGGAGGCCAAGGTGGGTGGATCACGAGGTCAAGAGATCGAGACCATCCTGGCCAACATGGTGAAACCCCGTCTCTACTAAAAATACAAAAAATTAGCTGGGCGTGGTGGTATGTGCCTGTAATCCCAGCTACTCA